ACAAGTCACTGTTAGATAATCAGAAATGTGTGGACCTTGAATAACAAGGTTGCTATTGGCCAATTAAAGAACAGTTTCATCGTTTTTAACCCTTGTTTCGACCGTCAACAATCTTGAAAAGGTGTCCTAAAAACTTAACAAAATAATCACAATTTCGGTTCATTTTTGACCACCTTTAATATTAACAAAATCACCTTTCAAAAGTAGGTCAGGTGTTTTTTTTGTGAAGTACGGTAGTCTATTCTGCTCAAGTTAATCGTCCTAATGGGTTGTTTCGATTAGGAGTTGCAACGACACGTCTGTCAAACAGCATGAAGTTGCCGGAATTCCTTTCCATTTGGATTACTTTGCTGCCTCTTGTTAGATAGTTGATCATGGTTAACAAAACCTGATAGTAAAAAGCATCCCACGCACGAATGTTCATACAGAATTCAAACCCTGAACCGCACCGTTATTAGAATGGATGAAACCTGAGGCTTGATCGATTTGAGGATGCACATGAGGGGACAAGCTCACGTGTGTAACCTTCAAAGATTGAAAAGAACAAGGACGCACGGTCAGTCAGAGTTAAACTCTGACTTATTCAGGAAGCCAGGAGGGACAGTATGAAAGCTTAAAAACTGATACTTTGAGCGACATAAAAGGCGCGCCATCTGCAAAACTACATTGTAGCGAAGATGAAGGAGTGGAAGAGTTGGAAGAGTGAGATGAAGTACGTGAGGCAAGTGTACAATTTTCAGTTGATCAAATAGCGATAATTGAATTTTTCGTCACATAATTAATAACAATACTTTGGTGGCCCTTCGGAAAACATGGATGAAAAAGCGCAATTTTCACAGTCGATGTATTGGCTTCCACTCTTGATGATAACCATGGCTGGTGGTTGCGGATATCTTATGCAGTATTAAATGTTCCAGCTTTAGAGCTTAAGCATTCTGTATCTCCTTTATCGTCTTTTCAAACACGTCGCGGATTTGTGAAAAAGCTTCGATGGCTCGAGAGTTGAAATTCGTGCGAAAACTTGCTCATGCTTAAAACACCAAATAGCGAGTGAGCAATTTCAATCATTCTCTCGAGTAGCGCAAGACAAGAACGACTTTGCTTCTCAAGTTGTATTGAATGCTTCCGCTGAAGGGACCTTGCACCTATGTAAGCTCGGTCGTCAGCGTGGTTTAGTTGTTTTTCACTTCGACAGCGATTTCTCACGAGTGAACAAGGCGTCGCTATTTTTTGCCCGTGGATTCTTAACTGGATTTGCTGGAAAAATAGCCCAAACCTGTCTACACGAAGTGCTTTCGCCCTACCGGATTTCAAATTTTACTGATTTTACAGCATGTCTTGCAAGCGATAAAATTTTGGATTTCAGTACTAAACTTGCTTACATTACGTTTGAATGAATTCTAGCTCGCCCTTAAGTGTTTCATGACGGTACTCGACTCGTATATCTGGCACGTTAGTCATTCGAATGTCTGTACAGTCAAAAGAATATCGAAATTAGTCAATTAAGCGCCTCCAAGTAAACAATGAAAACCAACCATTGCCGCGGGATCCGGGCAGCATGTAGTTAGGCCCGAGGTAGTGTTCTTTGAACTTGTGTTCGAAACCAGACTGCAACACTGAGTTACGTGCAATCTCGCACATATCTGTTGACGTTAGTTTCCACACTTGGACTGCTACTGAGTATTCTTCAAGCAAAGGATCCTTAGTATAATGAAGCATGACAGGATCATCGGTGCTTAGAGAAACATTTAAACCACGAGCGTGATAGATCGGAAATGGATTGCGATGATAGGCCAAGAATAAGCGATTGTTACTTAGCGGTGACATAGCGATACCGATCTGAGTGAGGTAGTACAAATATTGCAAGCAAACCGACTTGCGCAAAGTGATACCATGATTGATACCGTTGGCAGTCAAGTACGCAGCCGCCAAATGCTCTGGATCACCAGCTTCACCAGAATGAGGGCGAAACGTAAAGATTTTAAGGCCTTTTTGACGACGAAACTCATTTAAAGCAGCAATATTCGCATAGAGGAAGTAACACCAGTAATCATACGGTGGATTAGCTTCATGAGTCCATTCGTGCGGCTTCGGCAACTTCTTCCCACGCTCAGCACGGAGTGGTTCAGTTTTACTTTCGTCATCCACACAGTCAAAACCGACCATAGTTTCAAGAAAGTAATGGAGGGGTAAATTGATTGAAGGATCTCGTGTAACTTCAAACAGCGGAAGGAAAATGTGATCCAGCATTTGCTGAAAATTGTCCACTTCACCTAATTTCTTGTACAAAAAATACAGTCGAGGAATCTGCACCATCCAACGAACATGTGGAGATGTCAACTTATTAACATAAAACCAGCGACCCAATTTATCCCATTCCGAATGTTTGCGTCCATATATTGAAACACGCCACTCCACAAGCTGGTATTTGCTGGCGTGTAAATCAGAAATTACTTCCTTTGTAATTTCTGCCAGGTACTTGCCTGCAATCAAATTGTCTGTTTTTAGAAAGATTTCGCGTAGACGACTTTGACCTGCCGGGTTATACTTGAGGTTGAAACGATCGAAGCGATGGAATGTATTGCTTGCGTGCATATCCAGCGTGTCAACGCTCAGGTCATATCCTGTAAGACTGAGCGACCTGAACACTTCACTTAATGTCATGAAACGTCCATCTCGAAAGATGACGATCTCACCCGGTGAATTTCGTAACCGCGACTTGATGAAACGCAGCAAGTGTTTTTGATTCATACATGCAGAGTGATGAATGTGCGTGTCAACCTTGCGAACATTGTAAAAGTCACGATGGGGCACTGCCTTTTGCGCAACAAGTTCGCGCTCAGCATTTAAAAGCGTGTGTAGATTAAATCGCGCTTCCAATAGCTGCAATCGCTTAAATGCCAGTGTCTTTACTGGGCCGAAATTGATAATACGCTTTATCTCAAACAGGTCTCTATAATATTCATCCATATGCCCCACACGGCTGATTGGCTCGACTGCGTCCTTGTTTTCATAAACGGTCATCACACCATTAACCATCATAAAGTGATGATGCGTAGCCGCAGGTACTGGATTATCAAGCGGTTCGTACGGAATTTCGTCTCGGTATCGCAGCTTGGCGGCCGCAGCTGCCGAACGTGGACTGCTTGGCATATCCAAAGACGATTCCAATATCTTTGTCTCATTGACCGATATCCACTTCTTGCGCAGCGCTAAACATTTGCGAATAAGCTCACAAGAATCTTTCGTCTCTCTGTCCACTTCTCCAGGAACCGAAGTAATTTCAATTTTCTGGTATGCAGATAGTTGACCATACGGCTCTGGTAAAATCTCGAATAAATCTCCAGGGCCACAATCAGCGTCATCTATCAAAGACTCGGACAAACGACGCAAACGCTTTTCAGATGCCACTTTTTCCAAAATAGAAGCCTTAAGTAGCTCTTCATGGTGCGTGTGTTGATCGGCCGCTTCAATCTCTTCTTCGTCAGGATTTCGCAGGTCCACGTCAGCATCCGTAGTAGCTGCGGCGGCTGCGGCGATCACATCAGTGTGCATGGGATGCATTGATAAGCCAGATTCTACACGCCCGTTAAGGAACAAATGCGCGATATCATGCTCCAGAGTCGCATCGAGCTCTTCCGACATATTCATATGCTATTATAGTGTACTATACACAAATATGCGGCATTTCTAGCGACACCGTCGTTAACGTTTATGAATACGGCTGTTCTTCTAGCTAAGTGTTAAGAGTAGCGTGCTTAGGTCGCCACATCTATCATTTTGCTGTTCAATGATGTTTAGAGTTATGTAGTGTCAAGATTCTAGGATTCTTTATGCTATACATGAAAGTATCTGTCAAATGGGAGGAATTCATGACTAGTTGAAAGCCGCGTACTTAATCCTTTCAGGATATCTCAAACACGTGGCTTTTGCGCAAGCTCTCAACGATTGGGTGACAAAAGCATCCTAAGTCCGGGTTGGCACGTCTTTTCGCATGCGAATCTATGCGTCACTCTTCGTTTCTCCCACCATCATAAGCTCAAGATTGTCTAGCAACAATGAACGCTGTCGTTCACATGCGAGAGCTCCGATCTGTCGCTACAAAGCTGCGTAATTGCTCCAAGCGCACCGTTTGGACGACACAGCAGGTAACAAGTTCTTTTTTTTGAAATAAAACATTACGCTTATAAATTTGTTTAGTATATTGATCGCGAAGAAAAGTGTGGAGCGCACAATTACCATCCGCTTCCTGTTGTGCTTAACAAAGGACGTGGCTGTAAAGTCTGGGATGTAGAAGGAAAAGAATATTACGATTTCTTAAGTGCTTACTCAGCCGTGAATCAGGGGCATTGCCATCCCAAACTCGTTAAGGCGCTCACGGAACAAGCGCAGAAGCTCACATTGACTTCTCGTGCCTTTTTTAACGATGTTTTGGGTGAATATCAAGAGTTTATGACTAATCTTCTTGGGTTTGATCGTATTCTACCCATGAATACTGGCGTGGAAGGCGGTGAGACGGCTGTTAAGCTTGCACGTCGCTGGGCCTACGACATTAAAGGCGTCCCGGAGAATCAGGCGAAGGTTTTGTTTGCCAAGAATAATTTCTGGGGTCGCACGCTGAGCGCCGTCTCGTCATCTAATGATAAAGAGGCGTATGGAGGTTACGGACCGTTTATGCCTGGTTTCGCTAGTATTCCGTTTAACGATGCTGATGCATTAGAGGAGATTTTGAAGAAAGAAGCCGAACATATTGCTGCGTTTATGGTCGAACCGATTCAGGGTGAAGCTGGTGTTGTTGTGCCAGACGATGGATATCTCACCCGCGTGCGCGAGCTCTGTACCAAATACAACGTCTTGTGGATTGCTGACGAGGTACAGACTGGACTGGCACGTACTGGTAAAATGCTGGCAGTAGATTATGAAAACGTGAAGCCCGATATTGTTATTCTTGGCAAAGCTCTTTCTGGTGGCATGTATCCGGTTTCAGCTGTGCTAACTAGTGATGAGATTATGCTCACGATAAAACCAGGTCAGCATGGCTCGACATATGGTGGCAACCCGCTCGGCTGTAAGGTGGCGATGGCAGCTATGAAGGTTATTCAAGAGGAAAAGTTAGCCGAAAATGCTTTTAAACTTGGCAACAAGTTTCGCAGCGAAATGCAATCGTAAGTGATGGGCAGCCATTTACATTGCAGCTTGGTGGTTGATTTAATTCTTTGTTGTTGACATTGCAGCTTTAAGTCGAGCATGATTCAAGGTGTGCGTGGTCGCGGTTTGCTGAATGCTATTATTATAAATGAGCGTCCAGGCCAACCGGATGCGCTGCAACTTTGCATGAATTTGGTTAAAAAGGGACTTCTTGCAAAACCTACGCATGGGAACATCATTCGTCTAGCACCTCCACTTGTCATGAATGAAAAGCAGCTTGACGAGTGCACATCGATCATTAAGGAAGTTCTATTGGAAGCTGAGCAGTAAGTCTAGATTTAGCGTTTAGATTCAACATAGTGAATATAAGATAAAAATTGTTGAGAATCTGAGAGACTTCCTTCGGTTTTTGCTGTCAAAAAATTACAATAGCAAACTAGTTGAGTACGCCGAAACATTTCGAAACTATAACTGAGTTTGTAAGGCAGCACTCATACACTAGTGTTGATAGATTACGCAACAATTTCGATGACTTACAACACGTTACTCTGGAAATTGGCTGTGAAAACGATATTTTCAATAAGTGAGACATCCGCTGCTAATAACATCACAGCAACGCGTCATCATACAGTACGTTCATGCCGTTATACATTCTGCTTTCCTATTTCTAGTCGCGCTCAGCATTTAGTCGATCCCGAGGCGGATTCATCTTTTGGATTTTTACCATCGGATCACGGCGCAAAGCACTATGAAACGATAAAAGGTGGTTACACTAAGAAATTCCATACGTCATAGTTTAATATCATACCTGAGATCGTTAGGAGTCACAAAAATAAACTGCTTCTTGCCATCCTTCTTGGCAGCATCCACAAGAAGTTGAATAGTCATGTCTCGATTAACTGAGTCCATAAAAACGTCGAACTCGTCCATGACACGAAATGGACACTCAATACTTTCACCAAGGGCCAGGAGCAACGATACTTGAGTGTAGGACCGCTCCCCTCCAGATAGTTCCTTCATATCAGTGACCTGCGACTCTCGTGAGGCGCCCACTTCATTGTGTAACACAGCGATGTCGAGCCGCTGATCGTCGTGCCTAAACTTTAATTTGCCTGCAAAGTTATTCAAGCACATGTACTTGTTGAACTCCATGGATGTGCGGTGGGCAATTTCCTTGCGTAAAATTTGCCACACACGTTTGCGTTCCTCAAGCATTGTGCGAATTCGCTCAAGATTGTCCCGAAATTTGTCAAAGTTATACTTTTTCTTTCGGTACTTGATCTTCTTTGTTTCTAAATCGTCTCTTAGCTCAGCGAGGTCCATGCCCTGAAATCGGCTTCGTTCGTGCTCAATTTGGTGCTTGATATCTGTTAATCGCTTACCATAATAATCGTGCGAGTGTCGAACAACTACCCGCTCGCAGTGTAGCTGGGCCTTTTGTCGTTGTTCCTCACATTCTTCTTGGAGAGCAGCCAGCTCATCTTCCCACTGTTCGACCATATCACGCATCGCAGCAGCCTCCTTCTGATACGTCATTTCTTTTACCTTCATTTCGCTTAATTGTTTATAGACAGCATCAGCATCTTCCTGGAACTCGTTCATCGCAGCAGCAATTTCCTTTTCTATAGCATCCAATTCTTCGAGTTCACGCAATTGTCCCTCAAGATCTGGATTGGTCTTGGCTAAAATCTCATTTAGCTCCTCCTCACGACGATTGAATTCCTCCAGCTCAATTTTGACAGATCGAACTTCATCTTCCAGCACCGAAGTATCTAAAGTGTGCTGTTGCATATCATCAGTTAGCTCATCTTCCAGCCTTCGAAGTTCAGCACTCCTTTGGTTAAATCGGCGCGACAGATAATCAATACGGTCGTTTTGTTCCTTTATCTGCCGTCGAAAGTCTTCGCGATGCTGTCTCAATCGAGCCTCATCGCGACGCAGCACATCCATATTCCCCTGCAAAAAGTTTAACTTTTTGTTCAGCTCCGTTATCTCGCCATCTACATCGTGGCAGATGATCGAGCTGCGACGATTACCTTTGTTGGCTATAAAAGCCAAATTACCAGATCGAACGACAAACTTGTCACCATTCGGAAGATACACTTCCGTTACAAAGCGTGCCATTCGAAAATTGCCACTTGATCCACTTAAAACACTTTTTTCGGCTGACTGACGAGTTTCAAATAGTAGTTTGCTCTCACAATTGCATACATCAACAAGTACATTGAAGACTTCGTCGTCATCCACTTCTAGAATGTTGCAGATTGCATGAGCTGCTAAATCCCCATCAGCCAATCGCAAGTTGTTGTATCGGCGTCCACTGCGCTGCGATATAATGATATTTGCCTGGTTCTGCGGGCAATGAATTTGGCGCTTCAAGTCATCAAGCAAGGCTTTATCACGGCCATTGACAACAAGATAGCTTCCTAATGTCCCCTTCAACGCCAACTCGATTGCAACAGCGAAGTGCATAAACTTTTCAGGAAGCTTGACATGGAGACCAAGAGGTCCAATGGGAGGTTCGGAAAAGCGATGACGATTCTGATGGATGAGCTGTTGCAACTGCGGAATTCTACTACCATACACTGCTAAACTATCGCGCTTCTGACCCCGTAGCTGATTAATTTTTGCTTGAGTCTTTCCCATCTCGACCTCTGAATCACGCAAATGACGAACACAACGATCATAGCGATTATCCACTTCGTCTAGCTCCTCCGGACGCGTCTGACCATGTTCTTTCGTTTCATTGAGTTCACACTCTGCATCGTGCACCTCTCTACGCTTTCGTTCGATTTGTTCACGCATTTTATCGTTCCGCTGCAATCGGGTGCGCATCATCACTTCATGATCCTCACGTTTCTTCTGCACGTCGTCTTGCAGGCGTGTCAAACGCTGATTCGCACGTTGCCTTGATTGCGTCAACTGTTTTAACTCTGCTTTACACATGTGCAACGGTCGACGCGCTTCACGGATTCGGTTTTTCACGTCTGTTTTTCGTTGGCTGTTTTCGTTCAAGCGAGTATTCACTTCCTCTAACCTATCATTCTTTTCTTTCTGTTTTCTCTCCATGTCGTCCACCGCCCCCTTTGTTTTTTCATACTCATCAGCTGCAAGCTCTGCATCGCGTTTCTTACGCCTCATTTTCTTTTCCATCTTCGCCGCTGACTGTTCCTTCTCAGCCACAAACGACCATGCAAGCTCCTTTTTAAGCACTTCAAACTCTTCTTCCAGCTTTCCAATCTGATAAATAAAATCACCAATATTATTATCCCTTACATCGACAATATTGTCTGTTTATCTAAACACAATTCCTTACACTCTGCGCATCTTCCCACTGCTTTTCGGCTTCCTCCATGGCCTTTTCTAAGGTCGCAATCTTGGCCTTTTCTCTTTTCAGCGTCGACTCTGCGATATTCCTTGTCTCTTCATCAATCTTGGAGTATGTCGTTCTCATTTTATACAGATCTGTCGATTGTAAAAAGAATTTGTACTTGTCTTGTGGATTGCCCTTAAGAAATAGCTTTGCGTTCTCCTGGTCTAAAATCGCGCACGGATTCTCTGTCTGAATATTCAAATGATCCAACATCGCATCTAAGTCTGTCTTGAGCTTAGAAACTAGCACTCCTCTCTCGTCTTTAAGTCTGTATTCAGCTGATCCATCTCGACGAATAAGTCTCTCCACAATGATTCGACGACCAAAATTTTCGGGACGAAACGCATCGCTGCCTACTGCGTCATTTCTAAGCGTAATTCGTACCAAAGCATTGCCTTCGTAGCCGTGCCGAATGAGATTCTTGATACTCTTACCGCGATGAGTACTGCGCGCACTGGCTCCAAGGCAAATTTGTATAGCAGCAATAATGGCACTCTTTCCACTGCCATTCTCGCCTGTAATAAAGTTTATGTGCGGACATAGAGAGACACGTAGTTTGCGATGGCACATAAAATTTTCGCAATAAATTTCTTCCACAACGCCCATTTCCGAGTCAATGCTAGCGTCCAGTTGGGACAATTGCGCAGAAGACGAATTCAAACGACGCTTTTGACCTACAAGTACGTCATCGCTGATATATTCGTCGTTTTTTTCTTCCCTTTCAGCAATAAAATTATCAACTTCATTCTCTGTCACGATAATCGTAGCAGCTTCAGCATCGTTGTAGCATGTCTTCTGCACCTTAGCACGCAGTCGACGGCTTGTAAGCAGCGTCATAATGACGCTGTTATATTGCAAAGTCCTCGTGGATGCGAGATGGCGGCTGACAAGTAAATAAGACCGGAGTGGTGATCACGGACAGCCTGCGTGCGGACTCGACGTTTTGGCGCCGAGAGCTTACAGAATACGGCTTTTTTATGCGGTATGAATATTTAGAATGATACTTTTATATTGATGGTCAAAAAGAAGGACACAAAAACTTGGGCTTCTACGAAGAAAATCGCAATCTTTAAGTGATTACTTTCTACATAAACAACTCTGAGCTAATAGGAGCTTTTGACAACGAGGTGGATCTCGAGACTAGTCTTGTACAATGACCAATCTTTAAACACTCAGGCAATACATATGAGCTAAAGAGAGTGGCTGATTTGTGGGGGTACGTCTGATGAGTGCGATGCAAGTGCAAGTGACGGACTCCAACCGAGACTGACAGATTTCATGCAACGAAGTTTTCAACTGATTTGTGGGTATGAGTACACCTCGCAACACTGTCACTTTTGTCCTTTGGACTTAAACTCCAAGCTCAGAGGCACCAAAGTATGGAAGTATCCTGATAATTACTGTTACGGATAAGGGGAATGAAAGGAGACACTTGTGCTTCTAGCGTCACACTATGTAGTACAAAATATTGCACTATCGAGAATATTAAAGCAGATATATTTTGTGCCAGTACAATTCGAATACGTGTCAGTCCTGAATATTCGAGAGGCTATCGATTTCGCAAGCCTATAGGGTGTAAAAATCCCTCTTTGTACGAGGATCAAGGCAATCCCGTTTTCACTGGAAGGTACGTGATGTTCCTTCGACGACCGATTATTAACACGACATTATCCTATGTAGATATGCAGCTCAAGTTGTTCTAGTTTTTGCTCATATAACAACAAGATACGTTTGGAAAAGCTCCTGTCCTAAGTTGGTCACAAGGATAACACACGTTGCAACCCGGGGTCGAGAGCGTTTGTCGCTCGCCTGGAGGCGTTCGTTAGCTATGTATGCGCTATTAGGTCGACTTAAAGAAAGCTTTGGACACTGCAAAGAAAAAGATGAGCTGAGTAAAAACTGTCAACTCTCCATACGGAGCATCAGCGCGTCACGATAGTCTTCCCCGAGCTAATAGGCCGAGCGGAAGAATGTGCAGTGTCTCTGCTTAAAAATCATTTCAAAAGTGTGAAATATATTGAGCGGCAGATTTTGCCAATATTCGTACCGCCTAGCCAGGTGTATCGTGTACGACAAGAAGTTTTGATCACAAGGGAGGCGAGCAAAAGCAGACTTTGCCAGGAGTCATCTCGCAGCGATGGAACAAACTCTCTCCCGTGGGTGATAGCAGTTATCATTCCTTAAGACGCTCTCCGAGTAGGTGCGACTGGCACCAAGATTATTCGCGTCCACCCTACATCTCAGCATCAAATTGATAGTGGAGAACAACTTTGTGTCCCGAGGATCAGGTGGGGTACTTAAAGATCTATTAAGAAGTGCAAGATCCGAAGTTGCTGAGAGCTATGCGTAATCGCAGATTTTCATATGCGGTGGTATAAATTTCTCGCGCCTTGCGCGCACCCTTTGCTATGAGCTGATAGATACGAACGGGCGAGCTCCCACGAAAGGGCGTCGAGCAAACCCTTCGTGGGAAACCTCCTCTAAGAGTAGGCCCGTGTGCCTACTGGGAAAGATCTCTGCTGTATTGTACCTCGTATAGGTTGTGGTCTATGGGACCAAGGCACCGATCCCTGGCTCAAATGGTTTGTAGATTGGTCTGGGATCGGGAGGTACCTGGCTCGATACCCATAGGATCCGAATTAAGGCCGCCGGAGATAGGTCACTTAAGTGGGCGAGCAATCACACCCCTGCAGTGAAACCGCCCTGCTAACCCGCACCTAATTGGGTGTGTGATAGTTGGGTGAAAGGAGAAAACACTAACTGAAAAAGCCCCATAGTGTAATGAGGGGTACGGAACCCGGGGTCGGAAAGCTACCAGCATCCCGCGCTTAATCCTAGGGTGTGGGTTCCGATAGCTTGATCTCAATGGGACCAAGGCCTGGTATCCACAGCCCAGGGTTGTTGGTTGGTGATATCAGCGCTCCAGGCTTTGTAGATAAGCAAAAAACTTTGCTCTTTTTTACTTCCTAATCGAGCCCAGCCCTGGTATCTACAGCCCAGAGTTGTTAATTTGTGATATCAGTAGTCAAGGCTTTGTGCAGATCAGGATCGTCGTGCATTTAAGTACGGCGCCCGATTAACAAAAACTAGTATACAGCACGCAGAGGCGATTGAGCTGTAGAATACAAATCAACATCGGTACGTCTTTCAATGCGGGATTAATGACAGTATTGAATGTTCTAATGAACCATCCAGTGAAGTTTTGAAACCGTGGAGCGTTATCTCTTTCTGGTCTTGGATATGAACTCATCCCGTGACGTGGCTTGAATGCCTTGGGCTATTGATCGACTTTAACGTAGTTTTCGCCTGCTGGGGCTTTGTAAATCATAAATTCGTCTTTCAAGAAGCGGAGTGTTTTTAATATAAAGCTTCAGTACTCTGATAGCGGTCATGGGATTGTATATGGGTATTGCTGTCAGTCTCGGTAGGCATGAGCCGCATTGGACCATGGCAACTAAAAAAATACAAAGAAAGATAACCGTATATTGCGCTCTTCAGAATGTATCGTTGCTGAGGCAAGAGTTTACGACGGTATAAGTATAATGCGATACCCAGAAGAAATCTCTGGAGAAATTGAAAGCTGGTACTGCATGTTTAAGTGCCTGCAGACCCACAAATTACTGCAAGTCCTAGATAGAAAGGTTAGTCACTGAAGTTACGAAGGATAGTCCTACTTTGTAACCGTTCCGCTGACTCGGTACTACCAGGTTAAGCTCCACGGATTCGCAGCGAGAAAATGATCCGCTCATGACGGGTAGACCTAGGGGGTCGTCGGTCTCCCATCACATCCATCGACAAAACTCTTATCGGTCCAGATAGACAGGTCAATTGCCGAATTATCACTGTTGGTACCGGAAGAAGCATTGAGCTCATTATTCGATTTGAATTACTCCGTCATTCAGAACACTAACAGAATACTGAGTTTGAGAATAAGGCAGCTTTCGTCAAGGATCCTATGTATTCTTCTCAAACTATGACGGATGGATGGATACCACTACAGACTCGCCACGAGTCCTGCGCCTGGGTTGGGGAGTGCGCGTCAAAAGTGACATCCTTGTTCCTGGAACCAGATACTGCGTCACACGTTGATGGTGTAACAGGGTACACGTACCCTGGTATACTGGGGTGGGTCACACAAGATGGTTTGATATAGAGGTGTGGATTCCACAAGTCAGTGTAATTACACACTGGTATGGCTAAACCGTAACATGAAGCCACTACGCGGCGGGACTGATGCGTCTAAATTAATCAGATACGCTGTAGCTCGTTTGAGCGCTAAAACGCATTTGACTGCTAGTAGTCATGCATAACAATCAGATATAGACTGCTCTGCCGCAAATAAAATAAATGAATACAGTTTCAGGCTTGAACGTAGGAGTGTATTTGCCTTGGTTAAGGCTTTGGGTATCTTGAAGGTAGCGGAATGCGATTCACACCACTTGTCCTGATTCTTGTACAGACGTTAGGTCGGTGACCTAAGTAAGCTTCCTCTAAGCAAAGAGCTACGGCAGCCTCGCTGCAGATGTCCCAAAGCATGAAGCGGGTTGGTGAGATAATAAACGTAAAACTCCTCTCTTGTCATCGAAACGATGATTTGCTTAAGTTTAATACGCTAGCGTGTGTGCCGCTGCAATTTTTACTGTCACGAACTCTCGGCAATAAGTTGGTGATCTCGCCGTCATTGCTGACACGAGATGTCGCCACAGATTATTATATACATGCAAGAAGTATTAAACTGCCGTTAGTTTTTATGACTTAAAAGTTGGGGCAGTCAAGATCAACACTGAGATAACAGAGGAGGTGAGTAGACGTCACTTTAACGTTGGTTTGTGATCGTGGCGAATTGATCATCACACGTCGGACTACTGGCGAGGATTGATAAGTCACATTTGCTGGGAAGGCCAAGTTATACGCCTTTTGTCCACGAGAATCTAATCGAGACTGTTGATGATATCAAGTCGAAATCAATGTCGACCTTCGAGTCACGTCAGAGCAAAAAAAATCTGTGCCAAATCTTCATTGCAAACGAGGGTACATGGGTCTCCACACCCAAGTTCGTAATATGCGATACTTGGTATCATGGGTCGTTGATAGACTGGCTGCTATGTCGGGACACAGTTTTTTCGATCGTATTCCAAAACTTCAAGAAATGCTACACGTTAACGGTCATCTAATGAGAGAAAAATCCAGACAGAACTCAATACATAATACGTCAAAATCATAAAAAGACACCATAATGTATTTAAATTATTAAAATGCTTAAGAGTTCGCTCATCTTCAGAGCAGCGATAGTCGTGCATTGTATAGCAATGAGGCATCATCGCTTTGACTGCATCTTAATGAAATCATGCACGGACTTCTCTACCGGTTCAGTGTCCTTCAAGTCGATCACCGAACAAAATCTTCATTTACCGGTACCAAGCTAAGTAACTCTCCTTCTATCGTCATTCGATCATAAATTCATACCACCGGCCAGACTTCTTACATCGTCTTTGCTAGTAAACATGAATGATTTTATAAACGAGGATTGCACAACAAGTTGTTACATGCTGTTACCGCTATTGACAAGCTGCCTTTTCTAGACACAAAAAGTAAAACATGTGGAACTGCCGAAGGTTAACAGAGTGTGTTACGAATTGTATTCAGAGCGGAAAGGCCTCAAGCAACTTAAAAAAGCAAAAAAGTCAGACGTATGGGTATGCTTTTCTGTGAAATGATAAGACGCGGAATCGTAGAATGGCGCATATTGCACAGTTAGCTAGAAACAGATCCCAAATTTTCGTACCCCAGGTGTGGTCCGAATTAACCCCAATGGTTAGGTGAAGTGTTTGCTGTATCTTTCTCTTTCGTCATCCGCGAAAGTCAATATGTCTGGAAAGTGCCACAAGTTAGTCATTTCACATCTTGCCACGTCAACCTTTGATCATGATCGAAACTCCAAGCAAATCCGAAAAGCTCGTTGAAGACGATCAGGTTGAATTAGGCTACGACGGTCTACCTAAAGCCATATGGGACGATATGGTCCACAATGAGCGGACTATTTTCTTCTCACTCATGTTTCTCAATGCATCTGTCTTATGGGCCTATTATTCATGTCTAAGTGCTCAAGACTTTTATTCGGTTGAATTTGCAAATTCTGGTCTTGACTTCTCATTCCTTACAACACTCTGTACGTCATGGCCAATGGTTATTGGACAAGCTGTTCAAATGATTTGGAGCTTGGACAAGAAACTTACACATGAGTTCCGAGTGCATGTTGGTTATGGTATTTTTATTCTTATGGCTATCCTCATTATGGTCTTCAGTGCTATTGATTTTTCGAATCAAACGACTGGTGGGATTCTTGTTCTCATTTGTTTTGGCTGTATTGGGTTTGGAAATACCTTGTCCGAGGCGACATATTATGCAATTGCTGCTTTATTTCCAATTCCAAAGTTTTCACAAGCCGTGCAAATTGGAAATGGAACTGCTGGTATCTTGAATATTTCACTGGCTACACTTCTTCGTCTTGCTGTTGGTGGTATACACCAGACAGGTAGTTCAACAAGCCTTGCATTCTACCTCTTTTTTGGACTTTTAATTCTTGTGCTTATTGCTGCACTCTTTGTTTATCGTCATCTTACGAATCTACCCTGTGTCAAGTTCTTGCTAGAACGTAACGCTGAATCAGCTAAAGAAGAACATTTGACTGATCAATCTCTACGCAAGACACTGAGCAATCTACAACGCATCTTTTGGCTCATTTGGATGCCTGCTGTGACTCAATTTCTCGTCTTTTTCGTTTCATTGTCGGTTTTTCCTGGTTTCGGATGTGCTGCATCACGTAATTTCGTCCCTCCATATTCAGACGTTTCACATACCGTAACTGCAAATTGGTATTGTGCTCCTGGGATTGTTGGATCGTACAATTATGGAGACTTTTTCGGACGTATATTGACCAGTGCTGCCGTATACAAGCTACTCAGCAGTGATAGATGTTTTATTCTCTCGATCTTGCGCTTGATGTTTATCCCGCTTTTACTCATGGGTGTGGCAGGCACGTCACTCTATGCGTTCGGTCATGACGATATGATTGCCATTGCCTACAACATCATTCTCAACCTATTTATTGGACTTTCGAATGGGTTGCTATCGACTGTGACAATGGGAGTTGGTCCACGTCTTTTAAATCCAGAAGATCGGGATTCCGGTGGTGCTGTCATGGTTCTCTCTTTGTTTTTAGGAATAGCAGGAGGATCCACATTGGGCTTTTTCTTTAGTGATCAAGGTTGGCTTGGGTTATAATTATCAATGCTCACCATAAACCGTTTGTCATGATTCAACTTCATCTTTAAAACTATAAACTACAGGCATCCCAAATATCTCGAGGTAGAACTACAATATACACGATAATTCCAATCTCTTTACTGCTATGCGTTGCCTCTATCTACAAGGTCTCCCAATCCCACCTCCATTTCAGTGTCGCTCTGAAATAAGATGTCCCAGCCCAGACCCCATGTAGCCATAACATCTTCATTTGAGACTTTGCGAAAGTGGCGCATCTTGGTTCGAAGATACAACTGAATCTCAGCTCGCAAAGTATCACAAGGCTTCACCATGGTCATCGTCAAGGGCTCACGCGTAAATGGATCTCTCCCCATATTGCCACCCTGTTGTGACGAGGCCAAGAGATGACGAGCAATGACAGCACGATCAACAATATTGCCAGATGGTAAACGCACAGGATCTGTCATCAACGTGCTAAGGAGAGGGTCCAGATATTGATCCGGAATGTCTCCTAAACACGCCTCCATGGCTTCGTGTACGTGAATCATCTCATCTGCTTCGTGCATCACACCAACAAATTGTTGCACCCACGCGTTGTCAAGAAACACAAACCGTTCACCTTCCTCCTCATTTCCATCACGTTGCCGATTTGATCGCAAAAATTGACAGCTAGCGACAAATTGTCGAGAATTAAACCGTCCGTCCTTGGCCAACATCGCAATAAAACGTCTTCCCACTCGCTTTGTCTCCATTTTTGAAGATACACTCGTTACGGCAGCTTCTTTCTCCAACACAGCAAGCGCTTCATCTTCATTCATTTCAGTTTCGCTGTCCAATACTCCATTTTCATCGTCCCAGTTAGTCAAGCTTAAATGTTTCTCCGACTCGATGCGTGTACACAACGTATTCATGCCCCAGCGCACATGCGCGTCCAAGTCGCCAATCCTTTTCGTCATCAAGTTGCCACTTAATTGTGCAAGCTTCCAAAATGACGAAGGAGAACAACCGCACGAGGGGTGTGTATTATAACCAGTATAGCGCACCACAAGCACAATCAAATGTGCCAGTATCTGCTTTCCATCATCTAACAATGGCCTTGAGAAATTCCACTCGTCTTGTTTGTAAACAGTGAACAATGAAGAAATTAAAAAACTTAAAGTGCGAGCTGCTTGTTCCACCACAAGCGACTGCAACAGCACATGACGCATCGCACTAATCAGAGCTGAAAACGATCGCTCCGTGCTCTCTTGGTTTACAATCGATGCAAACCACGACGTCAACTCCAGAGCTTCGACCAGAAATCGCATTGTTAATCGCAACTGTTTTGCGTTAATTGCAATATATCCATCGAGCATATCACGTCGAAACGGAAGCACCACGACACTTCCGTCGACTGAATCTTGCAGCAAATCGTGGATTTGCCGCAATGTTGTGATCTTGGAATTGGCTTCATCAAAAAGCTTGGCGATGTCACTCCATAATCCGCATACGAGACTTGTGAGCTGCTGTTCAATGTTGATTTCTAAACGTATATCAGCCGACAGGAGAGTGTGCCAATTTTCCGATTTGCTTAACATATGCAAAAGGCTCTGACGTGGACTTGGAAGCTGCCAAAGAAATCGCAACAGCAACGTCACAGATAACCGAGTCGGTAGAAAGCCCCACAATATGTGATCGCCGCTCGATGCGGCGCTGCTGAACGCAAGTCCATTGTTGCTAACGTTGTACCGATCCATCTCGAAATGAAACTGCAGTAGACCAGCAACAAGCCACTTGGACAATAAATTATGGCGCTTGAACAATGCTTCCATTAGCTGATGTCCTTCGCGTTGGTGCATTTGTTGACCCTTGGATACAAAAGTCAATAAAGTCGAAAGGGATCGCAAAGCTTCGATTCGAAGGTGGGGATTCTTTGTCATCTTTGGCGAGACAACAATTTGAGTCAACATGACCGCAAGAGGCTCAATGATTTCTGTCACCTCATCCCCCAATCGTCCTAATTTCTTAGCTTCGCGTACAAAATTACGATACGATAATCGCTCCAGACCCAACAAGTACACAACGTTGCACAAATCAAAGAAAAAGTGTTCTGGGAATGCGCCAAATACGGCTGAAAAGTGCAAAAGCGGCTCATCAAACGGATTGTGTGAAACCGTTTCAGTCCCTGAACCTGCTGATGCGAAAGTGAGAAGCCATCGACATGTTTTTGCATAGAACAGAAGCCACTCAACTATATTCGCGTCTGCCAACAAATGCAATTCAATCTTCACACATTTGACACGGATATCCTCAAGACGTGCTTTACTCGCTTTGTAGTGCACCGAAGGCTTAAATGATGGTGATTTGTTTTGAACATGATGAATAGTTCTGCGCTCTTGTTCACGCTCGTACTCGTATCGTTCCTCGTCACAGGCACAAAATGCTTCGAGTTCCTGAAGTTCCCTCCTCATACTCAGCCACCGTGACAACAATGCCAGCGGTCCATAGTGAAGATACTTGAGTGTCAAGTAAAACAGCTCCGTGTCACGCGGAAAACGACGCCGTGAAATCAAAGCTGGCGGATGCAACAAGCGTCGAAAGCACAGCTTTGTAATCGTGCTGTCCCACGAGCTCGACAAATGCCGCCGCCAGAGAGCTGTCATAACAAAATAGACGTGTCCAGGTGCATGCATCTCGTTTGGATTGCCCTGACTCTGCGCTTCTTCAAGAGCCAAACAGGTAGCACACACGACTCGCGTTGAAAAACAATTGGCACATTTGTACACCACCTCGTCTTCCTGCCCTGTAGCGACCAGAACACCACAGTCTCCACATTGCAAATCTAACACATCAAGCGATTCAATTTCTTTCTCCAGGACGTTACTTGACTCACTTGTTTTCTTAGTGTTGGTCAATAAATCGATCGAAAGTGGCTGAAAATGCTTCAAGGCAAATACGGGAATGGGTGACTCAATACGTATGAAAATGTGGCCGGGATTATGCTGGATCGGTTTAATATCCGACTCACTTGCTGAATCAGGTAATGCTTGATGAACACAAAACCTCTCGAAACAGTGACTACACAAATCCATGTCACGACAAAATGCACACTTGTACCGAATGCCTTGAAAGTTCGGCAGCTCACAATGATCACACACGACACCTTCGTGGCACGAGAGACCAGGATAATATGTGGAAGAATCATGTGCGTTTTTCTCATGATTTTCTCGATTCTCGCGTCTCCTGCGCTTGTGATAATTCGCAATACACAAGTCGTCTTGTTTCTTAATCTCCAACATTTCCTGGGTAGTCTTTTCATCTTCACGATTTGGAGTATAATGTAGCTGAACGTCCGGAAAATCCTTACCGGCAAATACGCGGACCGGCTCAACGCTTTGGTGGTAAGTCGCATCGATACACTTTGAATCATCTTGAGCCTTACTCAGTATCTCGAGCGTTGGAGTTAGTAACATGGTTGTGACATTTACAAAAAAACCATCTAGACGCTCTTGTGTATCATAAATCAAACGTCTTCGGGGATCAGCCGTCAGTAAAGCAAGTGCGAGCCAACATAGCGTTGCATCCACTACAAACGGGTGTTGTTCGTCAGCTACCAATGTCTGCATAAGCACCTGTAACGTTGTACGATATTCAGCATAGCCACTGGTCCACTGTACTCGAAAGCCATCATCCGATGATCTGTTGCGTCGCACTGCTGTGTCCAGTTCGTCACAATCGTCTAGCATCGTTGACGCACGCAGAAACGATCCCAATAACGTGCCTAGAGCCATGGTCCATGATCGCATAAACAATGGAAACCAAGCAGCATCCGACTGCCCAGTTATCGTCACGCGTGGTGTCTGTACAACAGCAACCCCCGCCCCTCTGTCTGATGCAATTAATTGATGAAACAACTGCAATATTGCCGCAAATCCGTGAAAATTTACTGGATACAGCTCATCTACTCGACGTCGTAGTTCCTGAGCAAGTTGACAGACTACTAATGGTCTGAATTGGCTTTCAAGCCGTGACACACACGCAAAAAAATGATCCGAGTTTAAAGTCGTCAATTCAAGCATTCGAGAACTTGATTGAATGTGTACGACGTTCGGGATTCGCGTAAAGCACTCCCGACACAAGCTGAAATTGCACGCTGCACAACGATAGACACACGGTGGACAGGTTCCATCGCCCATTACAACCGGCGACAGACGCTCACAAGCAGAGCAACTCCATTGTTTTGTCCCAAAAAATGCTCGAATAGGTACCGAAGGGATCAGCGTGTGTTCATGTAACATATGACGTGTACCAATTTTGCGTGGTTGTAGCCATCCATTAACAAGTTCAACAGCCATGAGTTTTCTTGAATTCGCTTGAGATCTAGTGATCAATTCCTGACTTATAGACGCCCACAGTTGAAGCAGTTTAGCCGTAGCAAACGCAACAGCATCCACGACACTGTTAAAAGCGTCTAAATGTGTTTTGTCTTGCTTTCTACTTGTTTTACACTCTCCTTGTTTAAAGCGATTCGTTCGCTCTAGTGCCTGAACGATGAGACTGAGAGCCTGTACGCAACAGTCGGCTGCTAAATCGTCCATTGGAAGCTCTGCAAAGCTTTCAAATGTCCGCACAATACTGCGATTGGCCTGAAGCTCATTAATTGATTGAGATCGAGAGCTTAGCGGCCACAGAGTGTTGTTCGTAGACTTCTCTAACCCACTTTGAGTCGCTGTAGTGGCTTTGTGACGCTTTACTAGCACAAATGTCTTTCGCTGCACCTCTTTCCACCACTCCAGAGCATCTGCTGCTACTGTTTCACCAGCAGAAAATTGAATCGATGGAGAGAGAACGTGAACGTCGAGTAATTGCGCTACGAGGCGTGTCAATGTGTTCAAGAGCTCAAGATACATCGAAGCGTCTTGTGATCGACAAAAAGGCACGACAGAAGGCAGTAAATTGACTAATGGGTGCTGAGATGTGGAAGATGTAGCATCAAGCGCTCTACTGAGCGTTTTGGCATCGTCGATGGCGCTACGAGCACAAGCGAACATGACGAAGTAAGACGTCGCGGCGTACTTCTGGCGTACTTTCGACCGTTTGACTCAAAATTTGTAAGTTTAAAATGGGTTACAATGACTCGTGCTTCTGATTGGTATTTAATTCGACCAGCTGAAACTGAAGTCGAATTTTCACATTCATAAGGCAAAACAGTTGATTTTCTAAGCTTTAAATACTAATTTCAAAGTAAGAAGCGTAAACAATGTAATAGGATTACGGACATGACAACTCTTCGAGATGTAATGATTTGCTGTAGTCATGGCTATTGCTTCGAATCGCGGCGTCTAGGAACTTTATCATACGTTAGGACGAAGTTAACTTCATTAAAGCGGTTATGGACACATTGGTGATTCAGAAGTATACGGGCATAAGAATTCTATCAAAGCGATCTTACAAGGACAGGCTTAGATGTAGCCGCTAAAAAGTCATGACCAAACGGTAAAGTAGATCCGACGCGTCAAGAAAGGCAGAGGCGTCCTTTGCGGTATTTCAAGCTGAATTAATGGTCCACGAAAGGGCAAAAATGTCAACGCCCGAGAACTCGCGACCCTCGTTGATCTTTAAGCAAAAGTACGCAGATCGACGTCTCGCAGCTGAAGCAAGACGAAGCATGAATGATGGTGCCTCGAGTGGACAAGTTATCAGCAGTCGCGGCGGCGCCGATGGGTACCGATGCATTGAGACATTGCCGGTTTAGATGAGGCCGCATACTTGCTCAGCAGTCGCATGCGAAAAACAGTGCCAGATTGGCAGCCCCGCATAGAAATAAGCTGTGTAAAGTGCGCCAGAACAAATGGAACCGGATGCACAGCGAGTAGTGCAAATACCGGATGTCTGCCAGCGTCGAATCAAAATGTATCTGTTTGAATGGGCCAAACTTTGTGGATGAGCTTAAGCTTATAGCCTCACGTCATGCAGCACTTATAGTCATATTGTTTAGCACAGAAAAAATGTATATTCAGTTGTAGCTTTTATAGAACTTAATCTTGAATACATGTCTGTCTTACAGTCGAACAAAAGTTAATTACGAAAGGGCCCGGGTATGCTCCCGGGTAAGACTTACGAGCCATACCTCTGTGCATTGTTAATGCGGGCGATTTGAGTCAAAGCTTCTTCTGTGCGAAATGCAAGGCAATCCCGTAGCGCTTAGTAGTAGTTACTTCAACGATCGAGTGTAAGAAACTGGATACAGTGTAAGAGTGAAAGACGATTTGCTCGACTATCTGTCCTCAGGCCAGCTTGATGCGCTTAATAATCTCAAGTCTTCAGTTTCTCGTACGGCAATAAGCCGCTGGTGGCAAAAGAGCCGGAAGCAGTAATGAATTGTTTGAGGTGCTCACCAGCCCTAAGAATACAGCATTTACCATTTGAGTTGCGATCACAATCAGCTCTTATTCTGAGTTGATGGCATAGGTTCATCATGCTGAAAGCAGGAACGGGGAGTACTTTGCTCTGGGTGAGAAAAGCTATGATCACCATGAACTCAGCCATGCTTCAGATGAAAATGTAGCGCATTACGCTAGCGGTCTTCAAGCCAGGGCAACACATACGATAATTGGCACTAACGTGCAATACCTTTTGGCCGGGCTTTTCGACGTGGAAAGTACTAAAGCGGCTTATGTCGTGGGAGTTTTAACGCCAATCCCGCCGTATTGTGTGCATTAATAAAAATTCTCGACCTCTCACTTCCATTTATTATGCTCAAAAGCTATAAACTCTTAACGCCGGGATGGGGTCTCTAAACAAGTGCGGCTCGTAGCGCAACTTTCCGTGTGCAACCGATCTCGTCCGAGGATGGGGTGAATGTCGTATGAAAAGCGGAATACAACTTCCGTGCCACGATTGCCGGTTGAAGTACAGCAGGTAATAGCATTATGAGTGCGCTCAAAGAATTGGGTTTCTTTCATCACAATGAGGAAAAGAGAGATCATTCAGTGTCAATGGTACTCACAGCGGTTAAATCGGTAAGAATATTGAGCACCTGCTGTGTGTATCCTTTTAGGCTGAAAAGTTCGAGCGGTTGAGCTTGCACGCAAGGTCGTTCGATTAACCCTCGCCAGAAAGGTCGATTTGGCGCGAGTATGAAGCTGTGAGAGCTCTTGGAAAAAACAACATCATTTGCATTGATGAACAACGATGTCACCTCGAGGTAGAAGTGGCATTAAGCCGCGATTATTAAATAAGAGAGACTATAGCGATCGTCTATTACGGTGTCAAAAGTGAATATTTGCTAAAGTAGGAATGAGTGCTGGTACATCGTTCTCCAGTTTGCACTTCTGATAAAACATTCGTCCAAATTTGTAAGTTAGAGTCTTCTGTGCTAGAGCCGGTGGAGCGACCGTGTATCACGATTACTGGCATCAGGGATAAGTAGACGTAGTAACAACTAGAAAAACCTGGTCTTGGTATTATATTATTTGGAATGATTCAGTTTTGTAAAATTGTAACGATACTGCTGAGTCAGTTCACCGTATTAAGCGCCCATTGTGTGAAAGAGTTAAGACTATGGGTTTGTGGCGATAACGTTTCTTTTGTGCGAATGAAGTGACCGGGAAAGTCCGAGTATTTACAAGTCTTTCCCCTCTACCACCGGTTCAAGGTCGGACTAAGCTCAGAGAGTCATCCGTAGAGATTTTCGCCTGATAATTACACGATGTTGAAATCACCAAAAGGTACAGAAGGTGCCAATTGAGCTTATCATCTGTATGGACGCTCGCGGATCTTTAATGTAGATGAGTACGATGGATTTCTTAAACGATGTCACAAAACCATTACATGAATTGTTGAGGGAGGTGCAGTGACGAAAGAATCACCGCGCCCATTGCCCCCATATCAAAAAGCATGATAAAAATATGCTTCTGGAATCGATGTTGCGTCACACGACAAAAGCTTTCACAGCTGAACGGTGAGACGTCAATAAATATTTATTTTTTGTGCAAAAATAGAGCGGATTAAGCTATAGCGTGAGCAAACCTCTCCCTCGGTGCTGTCATTATTATCAAACAGGCTTAAAGGAAGCAGCGAGTTGTGCATGCAATATGCTAAATGCAGCCGCTGTTTCGATGCAAAAGTCGACATTTTGACAGGAGCCACAACAGAATAGCACAGTCTATCTCCGTGCACTCGACCTAGTGGATGGTTATTATCAACTTTCCATGATAGGCAGTGCAAAAAATTAATGTCTGAAATTGGCTCGTTATGTTCGAGGGGCTATTCAACTCACCAATGACGCAATGGTCAAGTGACCCAACTGTTTAGCCAGCATCGTCTCTATGCATAAACCATTCCGACAGTATATTCGCCCATAATTGTTCTAAGCACGGCAATTCATATGTGGAGACCTGCATTATAAAGGCGCCCAAAGAAATTGCGGATAGTGGTTTGGTGCGGCCAACTAATTGCATAAGTATATTTTGATTCATGCTGCTATGAAACCATCCTCATAATCCGAACGTTTCATGGTAAAGAAGATGCGGCATGAGTGGCAGCCCCCAAAGATGTAAAAGAAGCCATTTCTGGCTCAACCAAATCCATATAATGCTGACACTTTAGCCTCTTATACAGGCTGTGCTTTAGGCAAGAAGATACCCATACGAAAGGATACCAATCAGATACCGGTAAGAATGAATGCGTCGTCGCATTGCTCCTCGCCATCTTTGAGCGGCAAAAAATCTACTCATTTCGCAACGAGCCATTTGCTATGAGTATACTTGTAAAACCTGCTTGTCTTCTGAACCATTTATAATCTTCTCGCATTATATTTTGTCTTTCTCCGCCATTTCGCCACCGAATTCCTCGTAAAAAATGGGAAGCAGTAATTCGAGTGTACCTTCGAGGGTAATTTGGAGCAGATGCAACATATGTTACGCTGTTAAGACTTTACAATACAAAAGATTGACAAATCCGATGCTGTTCGCTCAAAGTGTCTGATTTCATGTTTGAAATATTAACTCTCGTATTAAGGATTGCTGCACGACAATCCCGACCCACTGACCACTAAACGCTTGGTAGTATCGCCTCAGTCACAGAACACTGTACGACGTACACGTACCCCCTAGGTGGCACCTCGATACGAGATGTTATATGGCTCCTGAGCGCTATGTACTGGTAGCGCAGCCTGTATAAACTAATTTGTACTTACATGCAGTCAAGCTTAATGATCTATGAGTTAAGGCCTCGCCTCATGTGCCTGTGACTTTGACCAGCAGGTAAATTAATGTAACAAATTTTCAGTCACCCTATAAACGTGTCCGGAAGTACTAGCATCATGATTTTTGTGGACCGTCTCAGCAAGATGGCTTGCCGGTTGCCACTGATTTAGATTGATAGCACTGTTGTGAGCTTTAATCAAGATGCTTACCACCATATTTTACATGTTCACCACTAACCGATCACAGACTGATGAACAGCCAAAATGCGTTAACCACGTGGCAGGGGATATATTACAATGCATTTGAGTGGGGAGGCCGCGGACCTGAAGCAGAATAATCCCACTTATTGGGTTCGTACTGAATAATGCTGTTCATACTGCTATAAACTTTACCCTATTTTTGATTAATGTTTTTGGCTAGCCCGTGACCATTTGACTCCACCGAATGACTTCGGTCTTAGTGAGAAAGGCTATCGAAACGGTTCGATTGCTGATATCAGCTCGACTACACTTAATAGCGATACACAAGACGAGATTGAGCTTAATGTGCCGAACAGGCGACGCTATCGCTGATATGCAGATTGTGAAAATGCCACGTGAAGGAAGGTCTCAGCGGCAGACAAACCACACACAGATATTTTTGGGTAAAATAGGGGATACTGAATGTAGTAGTGTTTCCTATTTATAATTGCATCTGCAAGACAAAATGCGACCCCGCTACATCGGACTGCTCACAGTTTGATCTTGTACTCTGCGTAATCTTTATGAAGCCACCTAGTCAAAAGCATTTGGTGAGAAGCGCTCTGTTGACATCAAAACCCTCCCCTCTAGCTAATTTCCTCTGCTCTAGTGCAGAAGTGTGACAGAAGCGCTCAAGCCGGACCCCTACATAATGATGAAGAATGATCTTGCAGCTGCATGTCTATTTCACCCGCATCAAATCAACATTTGTACATACAAAAACGAACTCAGATCGGCCTAGTGGTTGACTTTACTTTCTCGGTTGAGAGTATAAATCTATCAGTGTACAAAAATAAACTATCAGTGCGGTGGCACAACGCAGAGAGCGTATCCGGAAGCTGGCGAATCTCAGTATCGGCCAATCGCCGAGACGGTTTCAACGAGGGTTGTCCCATTTTCATTTAAACGGATAGTGGGCTGACGGGCTTACCGAAATTGTTACCAGTATTTGCTGAAGTGAAAGGAGTTCCTGCCTTAGAATTTACGTGGTTCTCACTCTGGCAAAGTTGCCCCGCCGTCGTTGTCGCTTATGACTTGGGGACCTGGAATCTCTCAGTCATCACTCAATTAGGCGTGCAAGCAGTGACGGCCAGCGCGGCGACCTTTTCAATAGCAAGTGATCCCCCGAAGATGTAGAGCGCAAGAGCTTGTAATTTTAAGCAGCAAACACAATGTGAAGCGCATAAGGGAGAGATTTTACACACACTGTGTAAATAGGCGGTGAAAAGAGAGTCAAGAACCTAAGGCATAATATGCAATTACAGCGAAAAAAGTATTTCCAACAGAATGACTTTGCAGTAACAGCTGTCTAATGGAGATTAGAAACGGTCAGAAGCAAAAACATTGAGGAGATGAGTACCCTTATGCCATATCTTGTACTTCACAAAGTCAAACAAAGAGATAATCGGAAGCCTTTCTCGCTAAAGCTAGCTTATACAGCTGTAAGACGGGCAAAGCGACGAGTTTTCCATATGCAATTTGCAAAAAATATCGTTGACACATTCACCAGCCTTCAGAATCTAAGGTACAGTTTTTTTTATAGAGGATATAGATTTACCTGATAGCTGCTGCAGGCGCAGACGGTTTACCCGAAGAGTGATTACCTGTAGAATCAGTAAGCGCGTACATCAATTTTCGATCGTTCATTTATCTTGTTAATTGAGCGGAAAAGCATCATGATTAGACGTATATGGGCTCCGCCATGGCGCAACGAATAACATCACATTGATCTAACGCGTGATTACGTCTGCAATTACGTCTATTTCGCTTCCTGAAGCAGGACCTAGACGTCTTCGTGACTTTCGGCGGAGTGTCGCAACACTTTCCTGTCGCACCACTTTCCTGTCGCACCACTTTCCGCCGCAGAAAATCAGCACGTAGTGCATATTTCGTGCAGATGAGAGGCAGAGTGCAGAGAATGCCTTTTTCACAAGTGAAAACTTGATGCATGCCTCATGGCGAGGTGAAGGTCTAGACTCGGAAAGTCGCTAAAACCATTCCGCCGCAAATATTGCGCTATTCTCAGGGGCGTGTTGAGCCATATGAGGGTCTACAAGGGAGAGTATTTCCAATGCGAGTTTGCCCGTACGAGAAGGTTCTATAAGGATCAAGTGATGGGGTATTGTCTCAAGCGCAAAGGGTACCCGTTGACCGTGTACTCTTGTACATTTGATAAAAAGTGAGTGAGCACCAATGTGGTTTACATCTTAGTGGGGCACTGTGTAATGATATATATACTGTACTACGGTGTGATTACACATTATATTACTCAAACGTACTGAAGCACTGGTGCTGGTGGGTACAATGGAACTCCTTGTGAGAGTAGTCTGTGGGACACGTGGGCTGTAAGTGTAATGGGGTTACACGCACCCTGGTAACAGGGGTGTGTGTCATACGAGATGGGCATGGTGTGACTGCACCCAAACAAGAATACGGTATGTGGCTAGGTAGC